GGGGGGGGGGATCCTGCCCGCTGGACACAGCCCCTGCCCCACCGTCTGATCGAGCACCTCCTGCATTTTCCTCCACACTCCAGCCCACGCCAGCCTCTCCCCTTGAAAGCACCCAGAGCCCCAGGATCCCCACCGCCCACCTCAGCACAGACAGCTCCCGAGCTGTGCACTCACCCCGGTGTCCACTGACCAGAGCACTCCCCCGACCTCCCTCCCCGCCCTCTGCAGCCTGACTCAGCCGCCATCAAGTCTCCATTCCTGCCAAGGCCACAGCGACTCCAGGCCTTTGCTTAGGTGACCTTCCCATGACACTGCTGTGACCCCGCATCTCCCAGAGCATCCACAGTCCTCACTGCCAGGGCGACCACCTTCCTGTCCCCGGCCCCTCCCTTAAAGGTGGGTGTCCTTGCAGTCCCGTTCTAGACTTTTCTCCCCCCTCTCCATACCCCTCAGGAAGCCCCCTTCGGTCAGCTTCGGACACCTAATGCCTGTCTCCCAGGTCACCTCTCCTGAGCTTCACACTCACCCGGCGGCCACTGGACTCGTGGCTGCCCCACAGAAGCTGCAAACTCCCCCTGCCTTAGAGGAGGCCCTACCCTTCGCCCCGGTGCTCCAGGCTCAGGGCGCTGCACCCGGGAGCCCCCAGGTCACACACTCAGGATGCTCTGTCTTCGGCACAGCCCACTTCTGACCAATCACAGAGCCCAGTGCCTCTACCACCTTCCACACCCCCTGCCTCTACCACACCCCCTGCCTCTACCACACCCCCTGCCTCTACCACCTTCTCCATTTCTATAGTGTCTACCACCTGGCCCACGCCTCTTGTGTCTCCCTCTGGCAGGAAGGCACGGCCTCCTAAGGGGCCTCCAGCCTCTGCTCTGACCTCCTCAAGGTCACGTCCCACAGCAGCCAGAGTAGCTTTCTAAGATGCAAATCTAACTAAGATACTTGGGTGGCAACGCCCTGCTCCTGGGATACAGGCCTGACTACCCAGCATCCTCAGAGGCCCGGGCCCCACCTTCCCCCATGTCCCAGTCAGGGGCCTCCACCTCCACTTGCAGGACCCTTTCCAACAACGTGGAGCCTCTTCCAGTCTCCCCCGTGCTCCGGACCCCTCTGCCAGCTCCGAGGCTTTGCCCAGGCTGTTCCCTCCTCCTGGGTCACTGTTCCCCCCACTCCTGCCCCTGGTCTTAAACACGCAGAGGTAACCTCGTGACTCCTCAGCCCTTAGCCATCGTTTTCCTCAAGACACATGGATTCCAGGTCAGCCATCGAGGAATACTACTGCACTGGGCCGTGTTTCTGTAGCCCCCCGACCGGGGTCTCACGGCTGTGGCCCGGCCAAGGACCCTCGACACAGTAGAGCCTCCATGACTCCCTGACCCACGGAGCTTTGCCCAAAAGCACCTATTTAACCTCAAGAGACTCTGCACCTCTTTGCTTTGCACCCACAGAAATGGGCCTCGTCAGCTGAGAGACCCAACTGCATCCCCTCCAGGAAGACGAGCAGCCAGAAGAGGCCGAGGGAACCCTGAGGTCCCCCCCAGTGCAGCCCAAGCCTCCTGAAAAAGTACATGCCATCCCCCACTCTCGTTAAGGGCGCAGCCAGCTTTGCCCATTTCTAACATTGGCTATTGGATGAGAGACTTGAGTGTTTTGGTTTCGGCTCGTGCTTGCAGGAAAAGGCCCCCGTTTCCTCCATGGAGTCAGGCTGCTACACTGAATTCAGATCTCTTTCAAGGGCAGGGGCTACTGCTTCGAGAGCTTCTCAAGGTGTGCTGCGCGGGCCAGACAAGGCGGGCTCCGGCTCGGTGATGGACAGCGCTGGGTCGAAATCTCATCTGCAGAAGACGCCTCCAGAAACAGAAGGCCCGAACGCAGACGAGGGAACGTAGACGGCATGACCTCCAGGAGTGGGTGCCCCCCTGGACAAGGACCCGGGCTCCGGGCCAGGCTGCCGCCTCCGCCACCCACTATGTGAACTCAGGAAGGGTGCCTCTCAGTGGGAAAGGATGGAGGTTAGTAGCGGTGAACGGGGCGGCCTCCAGCGGCAGTCGGGAGAATGGAAGCGTACCGTGGAGGTGACGGGACACCCCCAACTCATCACTGGTGCTCACCACTCGTTGTGGCGGCAGGAGAGTGTGTGGATGTGTGCAGATGTGAACACACACACCTTCTTCAACGTGCAAAACTCCCCATTCAGTGAAAACTTCCAT